CTCGGCGGCCCGGCTGGGCCACTTCCTGGCCGGCTGGGCCTCTGCCCCTTGGGGTGGGATAGGTGTCGCCCCCGAGGTCTGTGGGCAGGCCGATTACTTAAGCATGGAGTTTCCTGTCGGGAAGCTGTAAGACCCGACTTCTTTCTAAATCCCCTGCCGCGGGCGCGTAGGTTAAGCGGCGCTCGTACCCACCCCGTGGAAAGCATGAAATAATGAAATGAACCCGACGTGTAATCTCTGGCCGAGCCGGCTCTGGGGGGCGGCGCACCTCCTTCCTCCTGGGCATCGCCCTCGGAGAAGCACCTGGGCAAGTGGGCCCTGGGCAAGTGGGCCGGGAGGCAGCGGCCACAGGATCGGGGTTGCTTCACTGCGCGGGGCAGGACAGGCCACCCGGGCCGGGAGTTTCCTGTCGCGCGGCCAAGATCTGTGCAAACAGGCGGCAGGAGACAAAGACGGCGGCCTTGGGCCGGCTCGCACCGTGCAGGTCGGTCCGTCCTTCCGGATCCAGTGGCGCGGAGTGGAGACCCAGTCTCCCGAGGGTTCGGCACCGACTCTTTAGCAGTGCACCTGCTGGTGGCCTGGGGGAAGTGACGGCTCGTCCTGCCCACCGGCGGGCGTGAGGCTTCGCTGGCTGCTTGTGAATAAATCAACGGCGGTGAATCATTTCCATCGCTACGTGTGGAGTTTCGCAGCGTTGGGAGTTGATTCATCCACATTCCGTGTTATGTTGATTCTCTGTGTGTTCCTGGAACCGACACATTTGTTTCTTTACTACTTGCGCCAGATGGGAGACTGGCAGAAATTCTGCTCAGACGTTTGCACGGTAGTGGTGGTAAGGCGGAAAATCTGGACTGTAATAAACAGAAATCGTGGAGTCTTGATCTTAGTCTGTTGGCATACCTGTCACATGCTGTCACATGGAACCGGAGCATATTCTTTATTTCACTTTATTGGTGCAGGAAATCCAGGGCCCCACATGCTAGGCACTGAGCTACATTCCCAGCATATATGTATGTATGTGTGTATATATATATATATATATATATATATATATATAATTTTTTTGAGACAAGGTCTTACGCAGTTCAGGCTGGCCTTCAAATCAGTAGGGTAGCTCAGGCTAGTCTCAAATTTTGTGGCCATTCTCCTGCTTCAGCCTCCAGGGTGCTGAGATTACAGGTATGTACCACCGTGCCTAGCAACATTTTCTGTTTTTAATTTTGAGGCAGAGTCTTGCTGAATTGCCAAGGAGGCTGGCCTCAAGCCTGCAGCCCTCCTGCTGAGTAGCTGGGATTACAGGTTTGCACAATCACCCCTCCCCCCAGATTCCTGGATCTTTTCTATCTGACTCCTTTGGGGTGAAGAACTGATTTGAAATGGCCCACAGAGAGGACCTGGCCCAGCTGGGTGGGGGCAGGTGGTCCCCTGAGGCCAACAGAGCTGCCCAGTGAAGTCTGCCTCTGTTTTGTGCTTGCTGGGCTCCTGCACTTGTGCACAGGTGTGGGGTCCTGGTCAGAGCTGGTGTGGCCCCTGCTGGTCTCTCAGGAGGCTGAGAGTGCAAGGATAAGCTGGTAGAAAGAGAGGAGCAAATGGCCTGCGTTAGGTCGCTGTGCTCGAGCTTGGGAAGTGCCTGGCACTTACGGTGAGCAGAATTCCCAGCAGAATTAGCTGCCTGCTCACAGAGATGTGAGAGTTTGGGTACCAGGAGGCTGCCACCTAAGTCATCTAAACCCGTCACCTTGCGCTTTCCTCTTCCGGCTTCTTGGGGTCTTGACCTACAGCTGGGAGACAGGGGCGGGGTGGTGTGTGGCCGCCAGGAGGACCCAGCCCAGCACCTCAGTTTCTTTTTCCAGTTCAGGGAAAGTTGCGCTGAAGAAAGCCTCTTCATCATGGAATTTTGAGACAGAGCCTCACTATGTAGTCTGGGCAGTCCTTGAGCTCCTTATGTAGCCCAGGAGGGCTCGAACTCATGGCAGTCCTCCTGCCTCAGCCTCCTGAGTGCTGGGGTTGCAGGTGTGCTGCCACCCCCGGCTTCCACAACTCTTAATTCACATCCACAAACATATTGAGAGCCAGTTTGCCAGTGCACACCCACCTTGTGATTTGCCAGTGGACTGATACTGCCTGAGCAACTGTACTTGTAATCTGACTGGTTGGTTATAGTTCTGTCCCACCTTGAACCCGCCTCACCTTGCGGTTTTGCTCAATAAAGCACCCTGGAGGAGGTGCGTTTGATGGACAGCCACTTTCTGTGCCCCCCATGAAGCTTTCCTTCTCTCAATAAATTCTTCCTACTCAATCTCCATGTTCCTAGAATTAACACATTAATTAATTAATT